GAATTTGAGAGGCTGCTCTCAAAATAAAATCCTCTAGAACATTCCTCCACAAGTTCTGCTTAGAAATTATGCAGCATTTCACCTATCTCAGAAAACAATCTATTATACAAAAAGGGTTGGGAATAACACTAAATCCTGAACTTCTGTTTCTTAGATCATTGGTTTTCTCCAGTAATGGTGAGAACAGAGTGCTCTCTGGTGTATTTCATAACAAGAATCCATAAAGTAGCAGGAAGCTAATAGAAAACCTTCAGGAGATTAAACTAGGTTCTCAGCAAGTATAAATAGACATTGTGCCATTGCAGAGATTTGGTTCAGTTAATCTCAATGAAGACTACTAAAACTCAGTTTCCTCTCTGAGACAGTTCTTTGGTGTCTGCTCATATGGCATATTTCCAGCATTGGCATGTTCTAATGAGGGCAAAATTTGAGGGAATAGTAACAATCCAGGGTTGAAGAGGAAAAAAAATGCAGTTGTATGGAATAGCACAAAAGTTGAGCAAAGACTGTACAATACAGCATTATAATATATCACTGAGACCACTTGAGGTAGGAAGGGCCCTTTGAAGGTCGTCATGTCCAAACATCCCCTGCCCAAGCAGGGCCACCTAGAGCCAGTTGCCTAGGTCCGTATCCATACAACTTTTGAATATCTCCAAGCACAGAGAATCCACAACCTGCTTGGGCGACCTGTGCCAGTACTCGGCCAGCTGGGTGGCCCCCAGTATGCACTGGTGTATGGGGTTTTTCCTCCCCAGGGGCAGGGCTTTGCACTTGTCTTTGATAAGCTATATTGAATATATAATAATAGAGGCCTGGGGAGGAGCCAAGTCAGTGGGGAAGAGCAGGAGTAGCAGGACCAATGGGGCAAAAGTTACAGCCAAGAAGAAAGCTACAGCTATGATGACCACTGGCTGCAGTGTGAGGCAGGCAGCAAGCAAAACCTGTAAGGAAAAGATTGAGAAGCCAAGGGGAAATACAGAGGGTGAGAGAGAGAGGAAATCCACTGAAAAGGAAACCTTAACCACATTTTCTGTCCAACTGGAAAAAGGCAATTTTGAAAAGCAAAATACAGAGCTTTTGCCACTTAGTTTTCTAAGATGAGCAAGTGGAAAAGAACAAATTCAGAAGCCATGACACTAAATTTCACCATAACTGAATCTAAGAATTTTCTTAATTTTTAGACATCAAGAAAGAACTCAAAGATAACAGATGTTATCTGAACTATCCATGCCTGACTGAGTAGTTCAGAGTCAGAAGCATTTGTTTTTAATATCATCCACAGCACTGCATGGCCGAGATCACCAAGAAGTCTCTGCCTGGTCAGAGTATATTGGAGGTTCAGTGGGTATATTGGGTAGTAAGACAAAGCATTTCAAAGCACTGGTCATCATTTTTTGTTTATATGAAGGGCTTGAATATAGAATTAAAAAAACCCACTTTGCTGTTTATACACTTTTGTATTAATTGAGCCTTCCCAGTTACACTGCAGCTCTATCCTCAAAAATGTCTCCTCTAATAAAAATTATACATATCTTACAAATACAAAAATAATGTATATAAATACAAAGACACCGATCTCTGTAATGTAAAAGGGCAACACAGAAAATATATCTCTATATTACAAGAGTCTGAAAATGGTAGCTAGAGGAAAAAAAAGTTGAAAGTCAAGTTCAAGACAAGTTTAAACGATGTAAGAAGCAGTGGCATGAAGTTTCAGTCTCCCTTTAAGGAAACAATTAAAAATACTGAAGTTTTGCAACCAGGTATGACAGTAATCATAGACCTGCCTTGAAAACTGTTGGACTGATCTGTGCTGACTCTGGTCTACAGACAAAAACATAGTGTTTTTCTCCGATCTCTCAAAAATCACAGAAGTTTAAAAGTTGTTAATAGAATTTGACCAGAACATCAGACTCAAGTCTGAAAGAAAATATGAAGTGACACAGTGGACTGAAGCTACCTGCTAAAATCTGCAGAGTTTTTAACTATTTCAGAAGAAACCAGCAAAAGAAGTCCTTTCTGTTTCAATCAAAGTAGGTTACGAGCTTCCTTAAAGAATGACTTGTATTTTGGCACCAAAGGCCTCTTTTGTCTTCAGAGCTGTGGCAGGTCTGGAGCCAGCCTGTGTGATTGCACATCTTTCCTCTGCCTAGAGGAAAGAAAGGGAAGATGTGCCAGAACGCGCTCACTAGCTCCAAACAAAGAATCCAGCACTATCAAAGCACTAGCAATGCTTGGTTCGTGCTGCTTTGTTTCTCTCAGTGCAAGATATAAAAGCATCTTTGGCTGTATGTTTTGATAACAGAAATGAGTACCTTGTCATGTTTTAAATCAGAGCCTGAAAGACTTAGAGTGAACGTGACAGTATTTGAAATGTCCCATGCTGCCACACTTAAGAGATGCCAATCACAATTAATAGCAACAGATTTGCTATTCCAAAACAAATAAAACCTGCAGAGTTTTTCTGCTGAATGAAGAGCTGATGAGTGAAAACAGCAGCAGAATTACCACAATAGCTAGTTAGCCTGTCAATGGAAATTACTTTCATTTGTCTGTATTCACAAGGGCTAGTAAACAATAACGCTTCAGCTAACATAGTATTCGTTATATTCAAATTGAGCGTGAAATACAGGCTGACATTATTAATGGCTCTCTTACTCTTTTGGGCTGGATTTCTGAGGTCTTCTGAGACTTTGTGTTTAAATTGGTCTGTAAGTTTTGTATATTTTGGTATCAACCCTATTAAATTTGTGTCCTGTTTCCTTCTAGCAAATTAAGGACTGTTCTGCTTGTCATTTGAAGGAGAGATGTATCTATGCATCGCCTCACTGAGTCAGAACCAAGTGCACATTTTATAGTGTTCCAGTGGATTCTAAAGAGTTGTGCTGAAAATCCACTTGGTACGGTGGTAAGATCTCTCTCTCTATAAATGCATGCCTTTCTTCTTCCAGGTTCTGTGAATTTCTTTTTCTGATGTCCCGCAACAGTTTTGGTGTTCCCAGCTGCCATGTCGCACCAGTAGGTTTTACTAATCCTGAGTTGTACCTCATGACCCTCTTACTATGGAGAGTGGATGTAGATGTTCCTCAGCAAATTCCTTTTCTTTGATTTTTCCAGGAAAATCTTCTTTCTTGACATCTGGTCCCACTTCTTTTCATCTAATTTCTTCCTCATCTTCATGTTTGATTCAAAACTTCCCTCTAAGCCCTTCTTAAGTGCTCATTTGTGCTGACTGGTCAGAAAAACCCTTTCTTTCTAAGTTAACTGAGCATCTCTTGAAGGGCTCGCTTGTGGGCTGCTGTTCTGGATCTATGACATAGGAAACTTCGGGACACCAGACAACACAGACTTATGTGCAGAGTTGTAAGGCAAACAATTCAGGTAATAATTCATGAGATTGAAGAGTGTGATTAAACTAGTGTTGCCTCCTTTAAACCTATGCTGGGCAACCTCCTATAAAGCTTTTAAGGACTAATGATGTTGGGACTACAGCAGGGATGATAAGGTTAATACCAAGCAACAAACCTATGTAAAATTACTCGCGTTCATGAAGCAAAGAAACTAATTCACAAGTTTTAACCTAACAGGCAGACAGATGTAATGAATCTAGTTCTGTGATGGACCAACTGCTCTCTCATATTTGGATTCCCTAAACAGTTACACTGGGAATATTATGGACAGAAAGAAAACTTCATAAACCCACCCACACACATGCAAAAAACTTTTGGAGCTCTCAGCTGGCTCCAAAGTCTTTGGTTTTCTTTAAAAAAAATCCACAACTAACATGAAACAATCTCTTCAGCTTTCCTTAGCTGGCCATAACTGCTCAGTGCAAATGATAATTTTTAAAATAATGTCTCTAAGTCAATGTGTTTAAAATCATACCTCTTGTGGAAATTCTCAACTTCAGCTTTTCTGCTTTTTTTAGATGGTGGTGTTAATTTAACTTTTTTCCCTTCTAGGAGTTTCATACTTGATTTTCCTGCATACCTTAGCTTTTATGGATGTTATCTGATTGTTTGTAACAGAGAATAATGTAGTTTCTAAATTACATGTTGCCACTGTTCCACAAATATGATGGTTTTACCTACAGTGCTCCATCCAAATTCATGTTAAAATCCAAAAAACTATCTGGGAGTTTTGAGGCTGCAGTGGTCATGGCTCTTTGTAGAGAAGAGACTCCATGCAACTACAAATAGGTGTACCTGCAGTGCCAGCAGTGACTAACGAACAACTACATAGATATGCCACAAGGCATTTGTTCTGTTTTGTTGTCAGGTGTTATTATCTAAATCTTCTTTGTTCTCCTATGAAACTGTTTTCTTATTCCACTTTGCCTAACAACTCTAATTTGTAGACCAGAATTTTAAGTGGTATATACCAAGCCAAGATCTATAGTCCCTGATGTCTTCAGGATGCATGGTTAAAGCTCTGCCAGAAGAGGCAGACTGTGAAGGACTTGGGAATATAAACAGAATTGGGGAATAGCCTGGACTGCACCATATGCTGGAGGAGATTGAGCAAGCATCTAGGATGGCCAAAGAAAGTTGAGTCTTGTCATTATATAGGAAAATTGAGATAAATCAGAAGGAGGTGGAAAGAATATCAGATACAATAAGACCACTTTGTACTGACGACTAGTCTAAACTTCGTTCAAAAGCCAAATCTCAACATTTTCTGTGTGACTCCACAACACAGCACTCGCATTAACTACGAATAATTCTCCAGCAGGTGATGAGAAAGACTTTTTTCTTCCCGCAAAGAAAAATAATTTTTCTCTAATTAGACAACTACAAATCAAAAAAAGCTAGCATATAGTGCCCTGAACTTCTCACAGTCCCCACACTGGGCAGCCAAATGTGTTAGAAACCTTACAGCACAAGGCTTTCCAGTCCCTCAAGGGCTGTGTCAGGGAGGCAGGGAAGAGGAAGGTCTCTATAGCAATGGGGAGGATATATAGGTTTCTCTCAGGGGCAGACTCTCCCTCTGTCTCTTACCTTGCTGCACAAAGGATCCATACACAAACCACATGGAGTTGTAGAGGGTTGTGGAGGTCATGGATCCCATTTGAAGTCGCGGGGGGTTAAGCCAGTTCAAGAGGTAGACCAGTAGCCCTACTAACAGCACAGTGCCAGCTATGCAGGCCCACAGGGAGAGGTCAAATGGTGCCAAGCAGGCAAACATGTCGACTGTCTTCTCTGCCTTTCGAAGCAGCACGCCCACCGAGTAGTCCATGTAACGCGTTGTGAAGTCCACCACATTTTCCCTGTCAGGGGTGATGGTTAGGGCAGAGATGCCTATATCAGCTTTCTGAGGAAAGAGGGAGAGAGAACAACATGCATAAGCAGGAGCTACAGAAAAAAATCTTTGTTCCTCTGTGATTCATAGCAGATAAACTTACGGAGAAGCAGACGCCAAGGCCAATGTCTTAAGCATCACACATGTGAACACAGAAACGTGACCAAGGCTTGAGCAGAATGGCTGTACCACATATCTTAGTTTCTGTAAGCAAACCTCACTTGGTGGCTCAGGCACATTAGCTCTCCACGTTGTTATTTTCCAAGGAATCAAAATAAGTCGAATACAGATAATAGCTGGAGAAAATCTGGTCATTTGTCTTAGCCTGGCTTACTGAAGCCATCATTGCCATTGTGGCAAAAGGCAGACCTTGTTTATAGCATTTCCATTCAGAGGAAATTAGTTTCCTGACAGAGCCACATGATCTCTAACTTTTTGATGACATGATTATCATGACAAAGGGCCACTGCACAATAAAGGGCATCTCATATATCCTGGGATTTTGGGGGTACTTGAAATGCCAAAAACCATCAATTTTGGCTGCAGAATCTGGAGTGCAGAAGAACAGATACTCCACACAATGCTTTTATGATTTATTCCTCTCTATCCTCCTGCTAAGCAACACCTCTCTATGCCAACCTGTCCTGCAGCTACCTTGGACTTGCTTTGTGCCATTTACATTTTTTGTAATTTAAAGAACCCATATCAGATGAGAAGGGGATCAATAACATCCCTTGATCTAATCATTGTATTTCACAGCATGTCTGGGTATTAGGTCTCCAGAGACACCAGGCACAACTACAGCAGGTGCTATTTTACTCTTCACACATACAATTAGAACTGCAGTAAAAACAAGAAAAGGTATTTAACTCAGACACGTTAACATGATTTTAAAAAGCCCAAATACTGAACAAAACAACTACAAATTCTAGATTTTTTATACAAAAAAGAGCACTTAAAATATTTTAAGCTGCTACCAGTTTGATTTAATCCATTTCTGTTCCTCCTAAAGCAGTGTGTGGTCCTTTGGAAAGGGGTGAGGAGGGCACAAAGGCTTGAAAGTCTCAGTACTCTGTCAAATTTTATTAACACTCTTAAATTTCTTTCGTCTTGCCCAAAGAAGGCAGAGATTACTAGCTCCTTAGAAATGTGATGTGGAATATTAATTGGGAAGGTATAGCAGCTGAAACTGATTAGAATCAAATTTGCAAATCATCTGGGCTGTTTTAACACCATCTGCAAAACACTCTGCAGTCTATGGTACAAACATATTTTTAATCACAGTGCACCTTAGACTTTGGTTTAAATGATACTACTTTATATTAATTGCTCACTGGCTTGAGAAAGTGGTGGAAGATAGCTGGAGGCTGACGATTTGGACAAAAAAGCATTGGAAAATGTTGAATTGCTTAATAGCCAAGAAGTAGAGCTTCAGTTTTAATTTGTGGGTTAGATTCTCTAGTGCCTTAAGTGAAGCTGTGTTGATGTGCACAGCTGAAAGCATGGTTTCATGAATTCACTTCATGTCCCTTCCTAACAATTTTTTGTGGGTGATGCTTAAACTACCCTTTGCCCATGGGCAGAAGCAAACTCAGTCGGTAATCCAAGCAACAACTTCATAGAATTGTCCATGGAAACATTTAGATCATCTGAGTCTCTACTGTCCGATTATAAAACTTCTGGTCAACAGGTGACTTGAGTGATTCACGGTATCTGGTCACTGTTAAGTCCTAGCTCCGTTGAGCAAGGTGCAAAGCAGTCATCATTTGAGCTGTTTTCCACTACTGTGAATATAAATGTATTTTTAAAATAATTTACAGATGTAAGAGTCCAATGCTCTATACCAATAGTTGTCAAACAGGAAAATATGGTTATATTTAATGAATAAGGGTTGTTTGGGGGTTTTTTCCTGAGTCTGTATCAAAAAGTGAAATAGGAATTCAGGATTAAAGAAGGACACATGGAAACAAAAAGTGCTAGACTTAGCCCCTGCCTTTTAACTTTAGCTGTGTTATTATCAACATTACCAAAATACTTTGCTACCACACTGGATTTTTGCGAGGTGCTACTTCAAGATGTATTTGTAAGATGTTTAAAGATTCTCCACTGAAAAGCAATATATAAAAGTAAAGATACTTTTACCAAATAATAGATTACTGTAGGACTGAATGACTAATCAAATTTTTTCTGCTTTTTTCCCCCTTTTTTTAAAGAGAAACTTATTTCTCCGTGAAATACACTGAAAGGCATTGCATGAAAAAGCACAGTATGCGCTATATGGAAATACTGCTTCTAGTTTACATCTCTGGGGAGAAGTCTCTCCAAACTCCCCTGCATTATGGTTCCGCTCTGGTTATCAGCCATCTATGACAGAAGAACAATGTTGTCCTAATGGGAAAGTTGCATTTCCTTTGCCATACTGCAGCAGCAATCGTGATGTAATTATGTCTTGCGATTAAAGGGTGGTAGTAAAATAAAAAAGAGAAAGCAGAGAGGTAAGTCCTTACTTCTCAGTACTCCCGTATTTAGTTGTTTAAAAAAAAAAGGTTACACTGAAATATGACAACTCATATTCTTACCTTACTGAATAGAATCATAAACACTAGTTTACCAGAAAACTGCATGTTTAGCACAAAACCAAGCTTAAGTTTAACTTAATAGTTGGCCTACTGAGAGTGAGCATTCTTAATTCCATAGATTCTGTCAACTTTTATCAAAATTGGAACATGAAAAAAAATTAAATGCTTATCATTAACATGTCAAATTGGATCAGAGAAGACATCAGTTTGAAGAAGTCAAGGTTCATTTAGTGCTTCTGAGATAGAAAGGCAAATGCATGCAATTATGTCAGTATTTAGATACAAAGCTGCCAATCTGAATTCTGAACATGTAGAACTCTCCACTGACTAAGCTTTTGCAGTGCCAAAATCAACCAACTATCAACATCTTAGATGCCTTTTTAATACATTTCTGATGAATGAAACTATGACTCCTGAAACTGACTGAAAAAAACAATGGAGGGCATTATTTTTCTTTATGCGACCTGCTTAGGAATTTGTATTCCTTAATAGCTGTTCTCCTGAGGTCACTGCAGAGCCACATTACCAGAATCAGGTAATCCAAAATAAATGACCAAATGGGTCTGATGGCATTGTTACTGATGTCACAGAACCAGTTCATCAGCAAGGCCTAGAAATCTCTAACATGCCCCTACACTATTGCTTAAGCACATCTCGTACACATAGAAAGCAAGCTTATAATGATTCTTGTGGTTCATGACCAAGAACAGGGAAAATAAATGAATCTACTTTAAATTGCTCCCATAAGGCCTTTCATTTTATCCATTTTCAATGCTATATCAAGTTTCAACGAGTGCTGGAAGCAATAAACCACGGTCCCACGTGTTACGCAGCTATTAATATGGACATGTAAAAATTAATCAGATAGACATTTTTGCTCAAGTTAACACATACACATCCAAATAATTCTCCTTTGACTGAGCTATTATTTTTTTCTTCTCACTTTGTCCTCCCTGTACACTTTCTTCCTTCCTGTGTTACTCCTCTTAGGAAAAAGCATTAAAAAAAACCCTCATGAGAAGCTTCTACTTGGCTTGCAGTTTCTCTTAGAAATGTTTAGACGTGTATTTAGTTTAGTTCAGGTGCTCAGCAAACACAAAGCTTTCCATAGCATGGTTGCATTCAGTTTATTTTGACCGGAGAAAGTGTGTGGAGCAAGGGTGTACCTAACATGAGTCTTGACAACCAAAGGAGGGGAGGCTTTAATCAGTTTCCAAATTCAAGTTAAAACCAGTTGCTTTGATCTGTTGATCCCAGCTTCTATTTTAGCAGCTAACAGGGACCTTGTCTTCAAAGCTGGAACGGAGTGAATGTGGCATAATTTCATGTCTATGAGGCCAGCTGTGGACCTAGGGTACGTACTTGGCACCACAGGGCTCCTGCCCTGCCCTGCAGCTCAAGCAGGGCTGCTGCAAATGAGAGCAGCCTGGGACTTCTCTCACAGATACCAGGACCTGCATCAGAGCCCACTGCGCACTGCATCAATGTTAATGCAAACAACATCTATTGATCTTGAACACAGAAATTATGTTCTTGCTACAGCAGCACCATTTCATATGGCATGTCTTCTGTAGCGGCTACAGACATCGTTCTCCATGAGATGTGCTCAAAAACAGAAGGCAGTGTTTTTCCATTATCCTTGAGCGGGACTTGCAGAAAGGCCTTGTTCCCAACTCATTTCAATAGACAAAGAGCATTCCCTCTGTTTCTGGATTTCCTCCACGTGTTGGCCAGACTATCATGTAAGACTTGGTTGCGAAAACAAGAAAACACTCTGTTTGAAACAGGTTAGACCTTTGATTTAAAACTATTCCCTGCCCCTGTGCTTCCTCTTACAAAGTTGCCAAGCAGACAGATATTTCAGTTCTGGGAGCAGAACTCGGTTCACAGTAAATAAGAAAGCAGCCTTTCAAGAACAGCTTGTACTTGGTAAGGGGTAGATATACACTGGCTGCTCGCCCAGAGGTTCTCTTTTGCTTTAAGAGGGACAGAGAATGGGAGAGAAGGACACAGTGAACCTTTACTGTTATTTATATAAGGGGTAAGGAAGATTAAAAAATTATACGCTGCCATAATATTGGGAAAACATGTTTACTGAACTCCAAATGCAGTCCCATTACCTCTTCGTACTTTCTAACTGTACAGAAGGGTTTCATATCCTTTAAGATTCATTCACAGCAAAATTGTAGCAGACTGATAATTCTGTTCCACTCATGACATCTATTTACAGATCTTGGTGGTTACCACCTTAAGCATGTTACTAGAGTTACAGGAGTCCCTGCCTACGAAGGGGAAAAGAATGCCATGCACATTTTTCAGTGAACCATTTGATTTCCATTGTTACGAGTTCTACCTTATGAATAATTAATTTCAAATAAACAGGAAGTGTTCCAGGTCCACTTCCATCTCCAGAGCCATCTAGGACTAAGACCCGTCCAGCATGTGTTATGCAGTGGCCTGCTGAGCCCCTTGCCAAGTACTGCATACAGTAGGGTATAGTATTGCATCAGATTCAAGGAGTAGAAAAAATGATAAAAATAAATAAATAGGCCATTGTGGTGTTACGTCTCATGGTTAGATGAGGGATTTTTGGTTGTTAAAGTTTAGAAGATGGAAGAAAATACACTTTTCTAAGTGGCTCCAGCTTTCCACCTATGATCACAGCATTCCACCTCCCGGCTTCTTAAGAGCACAGGGAGATGGCAAAGGAAGTTCATTACTACAGTGTAGTTGTATGAACTGTGCCATGGGTATGGCGTGTGTGGCTGTCTTCCATTCTAACAGGCTTCCTACTGCTCAGGAAGGCAGAATAGGTTAAACTTATCACTAATCATTTTGTTAAATTTTAGCTGAAGTATTTAACGTTTAAGTCCTGTATCTGACCATGTTGCTCTTATTCTTTGCTGTGATCTTCAATTAAATCCCACCTTCACTTCCATAAACAACCAGTAAGTTATTTACATGAACATCTACTGCAGTTATTTAAGGAAAACCAGCAAATGTAGGTCTCTAGCTGTAAAATCTGCCTCTACAGGTTAACTAAGTACATGTTCACAGCACAAATGAGATCTCAGCAGAATGGAGTCTGCATAGCCCTGTCTTTCTGAATGGGAGAAACTGCAAACAGACAAGATGTGAAGCATGGTAAAAGAAAGAAAAATATAGCACATTTATTTGGTTTGATTTATTTATGATACAATATTGAAAATTTAATGTAAAATTAACTAGACTAAACGGTTTATTAATTACAGAATAGAGAGCATACTAATTCTTGATTCATACATCTACATAATGTGTTATTATATATCAATAAATTTTTTTTCTGTTGATTATATACTTCATGAATTCATCACACCAACATTTTTCTAAGTGCTATACATTATTTATGTAATGTATCACTAATTACTGCAACACTAATTTTTCCTCTTTCGAACAGCCCCTTCAACTCATTTGTGTCAGGTCTTGCCAAATTAATTAGGATGCTGTGCGTCCCATTATTTGACTGTATTGAGATTTCATATTGCTGTATTTTGGTTGGAAAAAGGAGATTTCCTTGCTTCTTAGATAGTTACCAGCAAGTGTTATTTCTAGCTTTTTCTTTACCGTCCAATGCATCCAAGCATACTATCAAATCCTGGCGACACAGGCAATGAACAAAGTGCTATCAACAACTCATTAAAAAAGTCACTGGCTAATGCAAACATAGTAATATACCATGTATTATTTAGCTTTATAACATGACCTTACTTAGTAAGTTACTGATAACCTTACCTTAAATAACAGTTCTCCTATCAGTCCATTCCATGACCCATCATCCTGAGGACTCCCATACTTGTGATCCGGTGCAACATAAATTTCATATTTAAAGCCGAGGTAAGTGGCCAAGGCTTCCAACACATCTATTGAGAAGCCTTGATACTTCTTCGGTTTTCCCAGAACATTTTCAGACACCATGACAAAGGGCTCTTCCTAAATAGAAAACAAAGGAAGCAACTGTTAGTAAAGAAATTACACACTACATCTAGGTGCTGGTTTTTTAAAAGTAAAGGAGGAACTATTTGAAAACTGTTTATACAAAACTTTCCGATAATACATTGTTAGTGGTGCCTTTTGCATTCTGCAAAATGCTATTTTGTTATGTATTTACTTCAACAGAGAAATTTTCTTCTGTACTATGTATAACAGAAGTAAATCTTCTGTTATAACACTACAACGGAAATGCCTGTCAGTAATGCCTTCTATTTGCGCTTATCCTCTGCAGGGCAGATGTGCACTCGTATGTCTGTCTGTAACCATGGAAGATTCTACAGTACTGCCAGTTTCCACTGGCTGGGCAAACACTGCATCTGACAAACACAACTGCAAATTCATGCTGTTAAGGAATGAAAAACATGGCAGAATCGGCCTACAACAGAAACATGCATTTCTCTTATCCTAATGTAATCTGAATGTGAATATAAGCTGATTGAGTTTAAATAGTTCTATCCAAAGAGCATTCATTTGATCAGTTTATGGAGAATCAATTATGGGACTTCAGTTAGTCTATAAGAACAACTGGTGAACATTCATCGAAAAGATGACCATAATAAAGGATGCAAATAAATATTGAAAGTTGGAATTGGTTGGTAAGATTTCCAAATAATATGCTTTTCTTTTTCCCCAAGATCTGTAACTGTTTTCCCCATTTTTTAATTAATATTTCTAATAACATTCTCAAAAAGGAATGATGTTTTGGCTAACTTTAATTTTTTTTCCACCTCTCTATTGTTCTTCCTGTTGAGTTTAATTTCTAGACGTTCTCCTTCACATCTTTTTAAAATGAAACACAAAAAGAGATCACATTTCTGAACGCAAAAAAATATATTTGCTGTAGATGGATCTCACTTACGCTTGTTCTTTATTTTCTCTGAGAACATTTGTCTGATCTAAGTAGAACAAAATTATCAACTCCCCCCAAGAAGCAGGAAGGCACTGTAACACTTAGGTATTTTTTCTGAAATATGCTACATTTCTTCCTTGTAAATCTTTACATGGTATTGTAATTTAGTATGAGTTTATCAGAAAAATCTATTATGAAGTGCAAAAAGTTTTGGCTTGGCCACGACAAGCATATGAAACCACTTCCTGACCACTTCCACCCAGTCTGCATAACCCACAAGCATACAGAAGAAAACAGAACTGATTTTCCGTAGTATTTGTGGCCTAAACTTTAATTGTGTATGCAAAGGAATTTTTGTTGGTGTTTAAATGATTTTTTTTTAATTATTCTACTACTTATCTCTGTCAATGACTTGAAGCTAAGGCACTTTTCACAAATTTTTCACTAATACTTCACTAAATATTTTCAGTTTCTTAGTATGTTACTCTGTATGAACAGGTATCACTGAATTACAGGCAGGACATTCTCGGAATAAGAAAGCATCATTTGTAAATGCTCCAGTTAACATTCATGAGGATAGCCATGTGCTGAGGATGCTACCAAAGATGCAAAGATTCAATAGACTGCACTGGTAGGATGTTCTTTTCCGGTTGCAGGAAATCCAGAAGTAAAACACAAACCCCAACAGCAAAAAATATCCTAAAAACAAATGAACAAAAACCCACCAGAAAACAAAAATAAAGCAGAAGTGTTATTATTTCCCAGTTGTCAGACAGAATTTCTTTCTTCCAAATTTTCCAAGATCCACCAAATGGAATAAGAATGGAGGACAGCAAGTGAATTTTTAAAGTAGGTCTCCAGCACCTGGATTCAAAGCACCTTGAAGGAATTGAGACTAAGTTGACGAAAGCCTCTCTTAAGTGAAAACACAAAATGAATTCAGCTTCGGTGATCACTTGGATGAGAGGCTCACTGCATATAGACTCCAAACTGCTGGGAAAAAATGTTTCCACAAAAAAAAAGTAATTTATCATTCTAAGTACATTATGCACAAAATGCTAAAGATTTGTGTGCACAAAATGTGTTTTAAAAGAAAGGATTTATTCTTTTTACTTCTAAATTATTAGAAAATAGTTGCTCATAAACCGAATCATTCACTTGGTTAAAAAGCAATTGCTAATTGTACTGGTTTAAAACACTGTTTAAAATGCAATTTGTCACCCTAATTTCAGTCTTCTATTAAGCTATGTAATATTGTTTGCTGATTTACAAAAAACCCCAATGTCCAACGTGCTATACATTTAATGAAATATAAATAATCAAATAGCTTTATACAAAGCAACTAACACTTCCCAATTTCTGTTGAAACCTGGAGCAGCAAAATACTTAATCGCATTCCAAACAAACCAAAAGAAACCTATTGCTACTTTTTTTGTAATTGTTTCCATTTCTCAGCAGGCATTGAAAGAGGACAAAAATATTTGTCTTGATTTTTTCCCCCCATAAATGCTGCAAAATGAAACTATGCCAGTTGTCTTTTTGTACACTGGGAGAGTGTTATGGGAGCTCCTATGGAAAGAGATGTACAACCCTACAATATTGATGTTAAAATCATTGTCTCCATTCTTGAGAAAGCAGATCTTATAGAAAGAAAACACACAAAACAAAAACAGTCAATACCTTTCTCACCTACTGAACAGAATAATCATGACTACAAAAAATAAGCTTGTAGAACGTAGGTATCAAAAACTCACAAGCTAACTAATGAGTTTGGAGGTGGCAAAATTCACCTGGATGATGAAGCTTTCACTCGACCCCAATGAATTCAAGAAAATCCTGATACACTTTCTCTCCAAAGCAAGTGGTAATTCAGAATATACAGGTAGGTCTTTCTCAGAGAAGCCATACAATTGCCATCCTCAGAGATACTCAGAACTTATCCAGACACAGTTCCCAACAACCTGCTCTAACATTAGCCCTGCTTCACACAGATGCCATTCAAGTGTCCCTTCAAACCTAAATTGTTCCAGGATGCAGTGAAGTGTTCAAAGGAAGGGCACTGTTCCTGCTTCTCATTTCCTTCCCTCTCTAAGGTACTGATGAGTCTCTGTGGGGCAAGAGCAGACTTCACAGCCTGTATAGTCAGAGAAGTCTGGAAAAGCAAGAAGTCACATCATGCATGACTGAGGGGGAAAAAATAAGGAAATGAATGGAATGCTCCCCCTTAACTTCTTGGTTTTGCAAGATGGATGATCTGCCTCACTGGGCCCCATAGCCATCAGATATATTTAGGGCATGGCTTTGCGTCCAGCCTCAGTGGAGATCCTTTAAGAGAGGAGTTACTTTCTTTCTGCTTTACCTCCAGTATTCCTCCTTGCCAACTGAATGAAGCACTACCAAGCCTGTGATAAGGGCTCCTTCTCAAAATAGCTCCATGGTTATCACTGTCTGTTTTTTTCTTGGGATCTAAGATATGCTGCTCTGATACAGAGGAGGGTGTGTTTAAGACTCATTGTGGGTCAAAGGATTTTACACAGTGATGTGGGCTAACCCTGGTAGACAGCCAATACTACCTCAGCAAAAGGAAAGTCAGCAGCAAACAGGTAAAGTTTTTACTGGGTGAAGCTGTGCATATTGCTTTTTACAACTGTAAGAAGGAAAAGTCTGGTTCCAGACATCATTACCCCCTGAGCAAGAGAAGCTGCAAAATTCTAGCAGACTAGCACATTTTAGGAAGGCTAAAGGCAGAGCCCAGATTAAGGCAACATGGCATAAAAAAAGGAAAATGTTGGGAAAGATGACAAGATAGCATAAGTATATTGGAGGAGCAGCTCACAAAAACATTTGTCTCCATTCATTTACCTATTATAACTAGGTTAGAAAGTTTTTTAAGGAAGAAGCTATACATTAAGTTTGACATAGGTTAACAACATGCTACATATTAAGACTCGTAAAATTTAACATCCTTCTCCCACCAGAGCAACTAGTTACCTTCTCATGCAATAGCTGTGGTGATGCTTGGTTCCTTGGTAAAATAATTCTACTACTCAACCATCACAAACTTACTCAACTTTTATCAGGTGCACTGATCTGATTGCCAGGGGTCCAGACAAATTCCAGAGCCATGACGAGTGATGGAGTAAGACTGTATAAACAAAAGTGAGGAAGTACCAGGAATGTGCCCTTTTTGGTATCAGGGGATAGTTAAGCAGCTCAGACATCTTACCCAAACTTATCTTCAGATGCACAACACAGTATTATTTGAGTACATTTCAACAAATCAGGGTTTATCACTGAAATACTTGGTTGAGTAAGAATAATTTTCATCACCATTTTCCACATGCAGAACTGAAATGCAGAGATTCCATAACTTGTACAGCTGAAAAGTGAATTCAAGTGTTCTGGTTCAGGGACAAATCCCTCAACCATAGCCTGTTTTCCCTCTGTCTTATTTTAATGCTTTAAAACACTTGTACTTACATACGTATCTGTATTTTGGCAAACCGTGAGGGTAAGAGCAGGAAAGCTAATCGACGAAAGCAAGCATTAGATGAGAACAAAGGAGGGTGGGATACAAAAATGAGGTGCCTAGACTCAGGGAGAGAAAAGTCTTACTCTCGAAAGGACTGCTTGCCAGGGTAAAACTGTGAATGGACAACAGAGATTCTAATGTGCCCTAGTCCAGGGAGAACTGATAGCAGGGCAACATAGGCACAAAAACAAATGTCACACATCCAAACCCCAGGCCTCAAGCCATGCCCCAAATTTTACACAGTGGGACGCAGGGGATAGAGAATTTATTTTGTTTTATTTTAAACATACCAGTGGAAATCAGAGGTTGAGTGTATAGAGCTTGGAGCAGTCTAGATTCAGGATTAGTAGAAAAAAGTGCTGCATTTTATTACTTTTTCCAACAAGATAAGGGGCTAACAGTTTTGGGTATTCAGGACTTCAGTTCTGGTGTCCACAAGGTTTTGTAAGTGCTTCAAGAGTCTAAGATTAACAGTACGAAAGACAGTTTTTATTTACTCTCATTAAATTCTCAGACATATGTCAATAATTTGGATGTAATAGTTGGTCTGAAGTAATC